TATGTTTAAAATACTTAGACTTGAATTTGGTTCATTTTTATAAATATGTATGTATGTATATATATATATATATATATTTACTATTTCTATAGTATTTTTGTCCCACCATAGACGGTGGGAAGATTTGGTAGACAATGTAAAGAGTATATAGCAAAGATAAAAAATTACTAAAAAAAATGATATATCTACTTTTTGCATCGTACTATGTTAAAATAAATGGATCAGCACTAAAGTTTTTTATGTTTGTTTATTTGTGTAGTACAGTTACACAAAAAAAATGTTATACGCTTGCAACAACTTTTCACCTAACGAAACATGAAAACATATAAAAACGCTAGCAGTTCAATATCTATCAAATTTTTTTATTTTTTTTTCATTTTTTTTAATAAAAAACGCTACATATATATATATACACCCAAACAAAATGTCTCAACAAACTCTTGATGAACAACAAAATTATGTCCAACTTCAACATCACGTGCAACCAAATCATGATCGACAACTTCAACATCACGTGGAACAAAATCTTAATCCAAATCAACAAACGCTTCAACAACAAATTATTGATCATGAAATTATTGCATTTGATAATTCATTATCATTTCAAAACATGACGAGTGATAACAAAAATAAGGCAGCGCAATCTTTGCCACCACCACAGCAACGCCAATTAGTTTATGTTAAAAGCAACTCCATTAACATTAATAACGATATTAATTTTAATCATCTCGATTTAAATTTAAATGTTTCTTCATTCAATTCTAGAAACAACAACGAAGACCCGTTTATTACAACAATTACAGATCATATGTTAATTATTAAAGACTATAGAATGAAGATTAATCAACACCATTTCGAATTGGAACAAATTATCAATATGTTAAGACGTAGAGATAATAATCGCGATTTAAATTTAAATTTAAATGTTTCTTTATTCAATTCAAGAAACAAAAATGAAGACCCGTTGATTGCAGCAATTACAGATCATATGTTATTTATTAATGACTATAGAATGAAGATTAATCAACACCACTTCGAGTTGGAACAAATTATCAATATGTTAAGACGTAGAGATAATAATCGCGATTTAAATTTAAATTTAAATATTTCTTTATTCAATTATAGAAACAAAAATGAAGACCCGTTGATTGCAGCAATTACAGATCATATGTTAATTATTAAAGACTATAGAATGAAGATTAATCAACACCATTTCGAAATGGAACAAATTGTCAATATGTTAAAATGTAGAGATAATAATCGTGATTTAAATTTAAATGTTACTTTATTCAATTCTAGAGACGAAAATGAATATCCGCTTATTACAGCAATTACAGATCATATGTTAATTATTAAAGACTATAGAATGAAGATTAATCAACACCATTTCGAATTGGAACAAATTGTCGGTATGTTAAGACGTAGAGATAATTAAGACGCATTTTTATTTATAAATAATAGCGCTTCTTGATTTTTTTTTAAATAAGAAAGAACTTAGTTCTCACGACTTATAAATTATTTATTATATAACCTCATTAACATTTATATTTTATATTTTATGCTTATAACCTCAGTAACATTTATATTTTATATTTTATACTTTATTTCTAAAGATTTATGAATATATTGGATTTGTATTATTTTATTATGAAAAAAATAAAATTTTCCATTGATATCTAATATCTGATATACTAAAACCCTGAAAATTTTTTAATAATAACAAATTTCTAAACTTCAGGTTTGAAGGTAGGTAAAATCATTATAATTGCAGCTAAGCAACTTTCTTGATTACCTATGTTACAGAATATCTAGTTCAAAAAACATTTACAGACATTTGAAGCTTACAATAATTGATAAACTAAATTCAATTGATAATTACGGTTTATCAGTTTAGTATATGTCAATATATATATATATATATTTATATCGTTTTATTCGTTATTTTAAATCGACACGAATTATAGAATGATTCATAATGACTGATTAGATTATTGAAGGAATAGAAGGTTTTGTCAACGATGGTGGTAATAGCATCGAGAGTGATAAATTAACCGAATGATGCTATTATCAGAGGAAGCAAAGCAACGGGAACTGGTGGGTAAATTAGTCGCACTATAAAGAACCAACACTTACTTCAATTGATGATAACAAAATTAAAAATGAAGGTTTATGAAAAAGAAGACAATAAAGAACCACCCAACAAACAAGCCAGGGTCATAAGAAACCTGACGTAAGTAAAGTCAATCATTCTCAACTTGACATGACAATTAAATTTCATCGAGCAGCAAGTACTAAGGCCGTGAAAAATTTAAAGGATCTCTTTTCTTTAAACAATATTTGAGATCTAGGAAAAGCAAATTATTTCCAAAAAATAATATATAATAAAATTAATTAATAATAAAAATGTGAAAAGGGGAAGCGAGACCGTATGAAAAAAATGGCACACTCTTTTCAAATGGGAAAATTGATTACTTCGTTTTAACGAAATTAGGGTTTTTAATATTAAAATATATATAAAATATAAAACTAATATGATTTATTTTTTAGGATGATCCAGTAATCATGCCAAAAAACTTACATGATATAATCTCAATAATCTCGGTGAACCAAAATTTTTTTTTCGATTAATATTAATCGAAAAATCTATTATTGACTGGATTACTTGAAAAATTTTCCTTTCATCAGAAATAAATTTCTGTTTTAAACTTTCCACTTATTTTACTTACCAAAAAAAACCGTGCAATCAGATATTGATTCAATTAATATACTATGACAATGATTATTATATTTGTAGTCCTACTCTAGCCTAGAAACAACATAATCAATCTATCATCTTTAAAACACTGTTAGTTTTCAAAACTCATATTAAAAAAATAAATAATTTACGAGGGATTTTTCCAATTCTTTCAGAAATAACCAAAAAATTTCCGACATGAGTTCCCAGAGAGAAGTTGTTCCATGTTGTTGGTAATAATATTACCAATGAGTGCATAAACTTGAAACTGAGTATTATAAAAAAATTGATCTTTTTAAAACAGAATATAAAAAAAGTGAATAGCTTTAATAATAATTTTATGCACACGTACATAACTGATTAATCGGGTAAATAATCTTTAATCGAGTCCAATCTCTAATCAGGATGGTGGCTCAGAAGAAGTTATTAACGCTGTTACTTTCACTATAACAATCACTACTACGGGGTCGAAAGAGAGGTAAAGGAATTGTAGAATTCTTGGAAAATGTCCGGATTAGGTGCAATCAGAAATCTTACTAGACTTGGAGGAGTTCCAATCTCACATGCGAGGAAACTAAATGTAATTTGAAAGTCTTTTTTGGAATGGTAAGCGCAAGACTGTGAAGTCGGTTATTTATCATTCATCATACTATACATCATATTAAATAAAATTTATACAGTCCACCCATACATTGAAAAAAAAAACAAGAAAAAACCATTTATGGGTTTGATAGATAAATTAATACTAAATTAATGATTATTGTGTATTTTTCAATATTGTTAATGCCAAAATTATAATGGTGAATCTTGGCAAGGTGGTAATTACTATATTTCCTTCCTTTATTCTATTTTCCCATTATTCCTTATATATAAATTTAACATTAAACGGAAATTGATTTAAAAAAATATTAACGCTATAACTAATGCAACTAAAGGATTGGTTGGTTTCTAAAGTTTGTAGATTTTTAAGTTTGTAAAATAATATCTGATAGGTTCAATGGCGAGGTTGAATTTTGGAATTTTATAAAATAGCTAAACCAAGGATTTATAAAAGAATATTTTGTATTTACTCAAACTGAACCGTCATTCGGAGACAAGCGATGATTAATTAGATAAATTTAATTATTAGTTCTTGATATTATTTTATTAACTGATTCTAATATTGTTTGACGAAATGTTACCAAAGTTGTAAAACTATTACATCAAAATTGCATTTTTCCTTACCTGCAGCTTTCCATATTAATATTAATATCAACATGTAGTAAAATCAACATCTGGTAAAATCCTTTACATTTCCTCATATTTTGTAATTTTTCCTTGCATTCATTTTTTATAGGACTGGTACACTATCCTCCGAGACAGTATATATCAAAATTTTACCATCACCCCATACGGGCCTCAGTTGAGGATTTGTTACATCGTGGAAATTATCCGACCAAATTTGATACACTAGGGGTGTTCAAAGCAGTTTTCTGTTCCTTGTTGTAAAATACTTATTAGTATTATTACAATTAGGTAATGGAAATCAGGATTAAGGTTTCCAGTCGAAACTATCTCTCTTAGTAGCCGAAATTGTCGAAACACTTTGGGTGAAAATTGATTTTTTATAAGCTCAAACTATTTTTTATTAACTGCGAAATTATTTTTAAATTATTCAAATTAAAATAGGTTGATTTTAGGGGTTGGCACCGTCAACCGGTTAACCGGTTAAGATATTTTTTTAACCGGTTAATTCTTTTGGATTAACCAGTTAAAATTAACTGGTTAAATTAACCGATTAACCACCATTTATTAATTTTTTTTTTATATATTACAGTCAAACCTCGTCACAGCGGACCTCGCCACAACACATTTCTTGTTACAACGGATTTA